TCTGCATATTATTAACGTTTATCAGAAACAAAGTATTTAATAGAAATGTAATTTTTTTTTTTGGAGTTAATTCTATTTTAATTCGGGGGGTAGGGGGGTCGAATTAACTTCAAAAATTTAAGCAGTGAAATTTAAGGTTAATTCCACGTTACACAACCCAAAAAATTAAGTCTATTCTATTTAATTCTATTTTGCATTTTGGAAGTCATCCAGTATTTCGACACCATGTCTTATATACCAAATAATGCGATACGAATCATTTCTCATGGGAAACAATTAATATAACGTGTCCCTAAGCTTGAACCTGATAAACTTTTTGCTCTTTTTTAATTAAAACTTTATACCCCAAAAAACGTTTTGCTACAGATTTCTGACAGACGAACGAATGTAACATTGATTTGAAACATAAGCAATTAGTTTAAATATTTAGTTATAAAAACATTTTATTAATAGTTATCAAACATTATTAGTGCTAAAATATTAAAGCGGGGGAGTATAGGGAAAGCCCGTCGTTTGAAAGAAACAAAAAGAGCAGACAGTAATTTTTTATTACCCGACTTCGATCCAGTATAAGGCTATAAGATGACAACGAAATGCTTTTAATTTAGACATCCCACCCGTCTTTTGAAACGTAAAGCAATGAATGCTTATCGGTTTTTTTCTTACCATTTTGTGCGTATACAATGATCGTGGAATAGACATAAAACAGCTATTTCTGATAGTAAAGTAGCGATATTATTTAATATAGCTCTCGGCTACTATTAAAAGAAGAACGCGAAAAAGAAAAACAGAATAATTCGACTTTTGCACCTACATACAAAAAGTCGCTTTCCGACAGGTACGCGATTGAATCCAAAATGCATATTGAAAGGTGGTGATGGACGTCAAATTTCTTTATCTCTCACCCTTTTTATTGTTCGACATCAAACACAAAAAAAGCATAAAAAACTAAATTAAATAACGTGCATGTTAGTATCAAAAGCGAATGTAAGTACAAGGTAAACCAATCATCTTGTAACAGATAACCAATTATTTTTGTTAGATCCAGAAAACCATGCCATCTTATTAGTTAAGGTTTGAGAATGTCAAACATTCAATTACCAACCGAAGAAGGTGAGCTCTTTTTTTATTTTAAAAATGTATATATATTAAGATGTACATAATCAGAACAATCTACGGCCTTGCCAATTGGGAGGAGACCGATCGCAGTGCCAATGAAAAGAATGGCCGGAGAAAACCAAGACGGTAGCTCTTCCGGTAAGAAAAAGAAATCGTACGCCACCAACTCGTACGTCGATGACGAGGCCTCGTTTTAAAATGACACTCAAAAATCCGATGAAACCAAGGTGGTCACACCAGTACAGGTGCCTACCACCTCGGCAAAGGAGTCTGATGCAATTGTAACACCCACAGTGGCGATTAGACAAAACAGGTCTATCTTAATTAGGAACTTCGACTTAAGGCGATTAGAGTATTAAAAATGCCTACTCTGACCTAAACTACCCAGCCCGAAGATACAGACAAGTTTTTAAAAGACATCTTCTTTTATTTTAATGCCGCTCAGATATACTATGTGTTGCGAAAGTGTATCCAATACGTTGGATGCTATCACTTTTTCTGTTTCTTGGAAGAGTCACAATTACAAGGCAAAGGATTACACAAGAAACACATGCAAACAATTAAAGGTAAAACATACATGGCCTATTGCATACTTTAAAAATTTAACCTTCTTGCAATAGACGGTCAACATAGGAAGTACCAGACCAGACTATTAAAAGCTGCTGGTAAAAGACTCCATGTCTTGTTCAAGGAGTTTAAGTACGGGGCACTTGCTATTGTAATCCCTTACTCCGTTGCAGCCTTGGAACGATGGAGCAGGGAAAAATTCAAGAAGTTCATTAGTGTTATCAAGCAGGATAAGGCCTTAACCGACGAACTACAAGATCTTCAGCTTCGCTCCACTTTCTTGGACAAAACTGGAGAATTACACTACATACATTATAAAGACAGCGACTACATTTATTGCAATGATATTCAAAATAATAAAGAAGTTCATTTTTGCTACTTGGCTTTCATGCAAGGTCGTAGTGTTTCATTGACCCTAATTGTGACAAAATGAAATATTTATACGAAAGACCAGTATTTTATTTTAAATTTTCTTCCTTTCTTATCAATAACAAGAGTCCCCGCTCTTTACAAGGTAACCCACAAGCAAAACGTAGTAATGTAGTGTGAGAGACTAACGCGGTGAATCGTTCTATTAGAGTGCCAAGACCTATAAGAAGGAATCAGTACGTCATTCTTCTTCCATGTATAGAGTCATCAGTTTGGGTAGATAAATTGAAGTCAGCAAAGACAGAGTCAAGTGATAGACAAGGTACCCGAACCCCGAGCTTCTTCAAAAATGAGTCAAGCTAAACAAGAAAAAAAAAGAGAGAATGTATCATGGTGGCCTGTTCATGGTAAGTGCATTGATTGATCGCTAAATAAAGTAGATTCTTTATGAAGGGGGTTTCATTTTAAACTGTAATGATAGATTCATTTTGTTTACACAGAAGGATGATGAACAAGTAAAGAATAATATTGAACAATGAAAGAAAGATTCAATGGGGTATAGTAAAGGGAACAACGCTAGCAGTAAAAGGATGTATCAAATATTGACCGAGAAGCTGATCTTTTTAATACAGATCTTGGTCCAATTTGTAAAGATGAACGTATGCTACTATCGTGTATGTCATGATAAATAAGATGAAGGCGTATTGGCTTTAAACACGAAGCATAAAATACATTTTAAATGAAGGAAAACAGGAACAAGAGTATGTCACGTCTTTTCTATGTTAAAAAAAAGTTGAAGCTAAGTAAAGATATAAGTCTTCGTAAGGAACTAAGGACAGGTGTATAAAGTGGATAATAAATGACAAGTCTATGTATTCTTTTTCATTTATTTTTATATTGATAGTTTAATTTATATCTAAGGGGCCATAAAATTTAGAACGTTGATGTAACCTCTATGACTGATAAAAGGTGTATGGGAGACATGTCGGTACGTAAAGAAGGAACAAACGAAACAAGTAGCAAAGAATGTAAATTGAAAGTGGTGTATGCGCACGGGCGCAGGCCAAGTCAATGGCCAGCAGAAAATCTCCGCACACGTCATCTATCCCCCCGGTTCTTTCTTTTTCTTTATTCTTTTCTTTCGTCTGCCACATTATTCAAATCTTCACGTATCCTTTAAAACAACTATCTACACCCTTTGTACTGCCAGATATGGTATAAGAAAACAGCTTTATGTGTAAAGGAGGAATCTAGTGATGGGACAGGGTTTTTTAGGTCTACGTCCTTTATTATAAGTTCTGATGCGCCACGGTGTAAAATCTGATGTGAAGAAAACGTAAAGGTAAAAAGAGAAACATTTAAAAAAGGCACGTTTGAACACGTTTTTTACCAACACTCTCTACAGCCATATCGCCCTAGCAAGAAAATAAAGTTGCGAAAGAACACCCATGCCATTTTTATAATTATAGCACCCAAAAAAAAGGACTCTTATTTCCTTGTTCTTTCTTTCATCCATCTACTCTACAAGGACCTTTTTTACCACTATAAAAGAATAACACTGCTTGTAGTCTTCAATATCATGAAAAGAAAACACTACCTTATTTCTCTGTGCTGTCTTATCCATACATTATTGAGTTCATAGCTTGAGGAAGAATCTTTTTTCAATCACTCAAAAATAAACAAAACCCATGTAAATCGACTGTACTATGGCCTCATGTGTGGTTAGGTTTATCCCTCTCTTACTCCAGCAAAACAAAAAGAACTATTGCTACATTCTACTGTTGCACGGCTCTTTAACTTTTTTTAAAAAAAAGATGACCAGGAGGGATCTCTTTTTATTAGGTGTGCCTGTCTACATAGACAAACAAAATGACTTGATGACTCGTGTATACAACACCAGCAACCTTTTGTATTATACCTGTGAAGAAGCAGCAAGTGAAACGCGTCGTGCATCGTCTCTTCTGTTTTGCCGCATTATTTAACAGTCTAGGTAGTGCGCCAGCAATATTATTGGAATACTTGTACGTCTAATTCATTCATTTCTTGTAGAAGCAAAACTCAAAGCATACAGTAACATCAACAACGGTTTGAAAATTGGAATAGGTTTCGAATCATACAAAAAAAATATAAATGACACACGAGCTAAGTAAAATAACAATGAATAAAGTACAGAAAAAATTACTTTATATATTAAATCTGAAAAATGACTATAATACCAATTAATACTTTCAAAAACCATACTGAATGACCGCAAGCACATATATAGACTAAGTAACATCTACAAATTAATCCTAAAATTTAAAAAGACGCTAAGACGATTTCGTTTCAAGCGGAAAGAAATTGGAAAAAGGACACGTAAGACAAAAATAGTACAACTTTTTTGAGATTTAACCATCCAAATATTATTAGCTTTTTGGAAAGCCCTGGAAATTTGGAGTCGATTAATGAAAAAAAAAGTGTATAACCTGCCAAGCGTTCGTTCACAATCATTGGTTAAAGTTCAATATATTTGGCTGTAGGCTGTAGGCCACAGGTGCATAAAAAAATATTAAAATAGCTCTAGTCTGAAATCTGGACAGGAATGCTATACTTTCAATTACATTTTCAGAAAATACAGAAAAAACTGAATACATTTAAAAGAAAAAAAGTACATAACCTTCCAAGCGTTCGTTCACAATATTTGTTTAAAGAACAAATATCTTAGGCCCTGCGCCAAAAGTGCTTGAAAAAATATTAAAATTACTCTGGTTTAAAATCTGGAGAGGAATGCTATACTTTCAGTCACATTTTCAGAAAATGCAGAAAAAATTAAACATATCTAAAAAAAAAAAAGTACATAACCTTCCAAGCGTTCGTTCACAATCTTCGATCAAACATATTTGTGACAGTTTCCGTGACAGCTTAAAACACCAGTATATCCACCTCTACTCCTGAAACACATATAGATGCTTAAAACTTTCGGCTTGCAATATCTAGACAGAGTTACCCATACATACCTTACAGTTTTCGAAAGCTGGAAACTTGCTGAATTCATTTCCGGGCACAAAGTTACACAATTTGCCAAGTGTTCAAGCTCAGTCAGCCTTCAAAGATTGGCTAGACCTTTTTCAAGGTTACTTACCACACAAATATCAATCTAGCATAGGTTTTGCAAAGGTCGGATATCATTTTTATTGTAGTTTGGGTAAATCCAGATACCCCTCAATCTATTACAACCTTCAAACTCTTTTTTAATCCTAACCTTGCACACAAAAAACAGCATAGAACATTTTTAACGTCTATGTGCACTACCTCAAGCCTAGCCTGGATTTTCGGTTCATTGTCTGCATAGTACAACTTTTTTGAGATTTAACCATCCAAATATTATTAGCTTTTTGGAAAGCCCTGGAAATTTGGAGTCGATTAATGAAAAAAAAAGTGTATAACCTGCCAAGCGTTCGTTCACAATCATTGGTTAAAGTTCAATATATTTGGCTGTAGGCTGTAGGCCACAGGTGCATGAAAAAATATTAAAATAACTCTGGTCTGAAATCTGGACAGGAATGCTATACTTTCAATTACATTTTCAGAAAATACAGAAAAAACTGAATACATTTAAAAGAAAAAAAGTACATAACCTGCCAAGGGTTCGTTCACAATCTTTGGTTAAAGGACCTATACCTTTGGCTGTGGGCCAAAGGTGCTTGAAAAAATATTAAAATAACTCTGGTCCGAAATCTGGACAGAGATAGTACAATTTAAATTACATTTTCGGAAAATTCAGAAAAAACTGAATACATTTTTAAAAAAAAAAAGTACATAACCTTCCAAGCGTTCGTTCACAATATTTGTTTAAAGATCAAATATCTTGGGCTCTACGCCAAAAGTGCATGAAAAAATATTAAAATTACTCTGGTTTAAAATCTGGACAGGAATGCTATACTTTCAGTCACATTTTCAGAAATTTCAGAAAAAATTAAACATATTTAAAAAAAAAAAAGTACATAACCTTCCAAGCGTTCGTTCACAATCCTCGATCAAACATATTTGTGACAGTTTCTGTGACAGCTTAAAACACCAGTATATCCACCTCTACTTCTGAAACACATATAGATGCTTAAAACTTTCGGCTTGTAATATCTAGACAGAGTTACCCATACATACCTTACAGTTTTCGAAAGCTGGAAACTTGCTGAATTCATTTCCGGGCACAAAGTTACACAATTTGCCAAGTGTTCAAGCTCAGTCAGCCTTCAAAGTTTGGATAGACCTTTTTCAAGGTGACTCACCACACAAATATCAATCTAGCATAGGTTTTGCAAAGGTCGGATATCATTTTTATTGTAGTTTGGGTAAATCCAGATACCCCTCAATCTATTACAACCTTCAAACTCTTTTTTAATCCTAACCTTGCACACAAAAAACAGCATAGAACATTTTTAACGTCTATGTGCACTACCTCAAGCCTAGCCTGGATTTTCGGTTCATTGTCTGCATAGAATTTTGGCTGGTGTTTTTGAAAAAAAAAATGTCTTTTTCTTTTTAGGCTACATTTTCGGCCATGTGCCAGGGAGTCTTTTGTTTTGTGTTACCGATGCTACAAGCGTGAATGTCAGTCGGTTATAACCCGTTATTTGTATAATAATATTATATTATAATTTTTGTTTGGCTGAGGAGCTTTTAAAGACTTTGGTAATTTTGTTTGTGTTTGGTACATCATTAATGATTAATGTTTGTGTTTATGGTTGATGTTTTACGAGTCTTATGCTGTTTTACTCTTGTGGAGCGCTTTTTTATTTGGTACATTTGTAAGGATTAAATTTTCAAAGAATGTTATGGTTTTCGACGGATGGTTAGTGCTTTTTGATTATAAACAAAATACGAAGTTAGATTGCTACCAACATTCTCTACCTATTTGTTATCCCCACGACTTAATCTAGATCTTGATCATCTTAAAACTTTGTTTTCAATAATATTAAGAATATCTCGTCCGCTATGAAGCACCCTGTAAAACCTTGTACCATAAGTCATATCAGTATGAATTGCCCGCTGACGAATTTATTCTCAGGAATATCATTAATCTGTCTCTCAGTATTGTTCTAGCTTCCTGTCTGACTTAACCTTAACGAACTTTTTTTGGATCATTTAGTACTTTTTTCCCGACACAATTTTCCGCCTGTGTCAAACCAAAAAGGTTCCGCAAACAATCATATTATTCAATGTCTACTAAATCTTACAAGTTACTACTCATTTTATGTTAATTAATCATCCTTGTCAATAAATTATGCATGATACCTGTGTGTGGTATTTGACAGAAACATAACGCTGAAGAAATAACGAGATGGGAGTATATATTCTTAGAGGTAGAAATAAAATAAAAGAACTCTGATGCTATGAATTAAATGATCCTTACTACATTGCACTACTCTCCTAGGTTTCACTGATGAGTTAACCTTTTTGGTTTTTCTAATAGATCTACACTCTGTTTCCGGCATTAGGTTAATTTAGTGCTACTGGTTAGTGCCATTAAAATAATGGTTACTGGGTCATAAATCAGGTACTTTTCACTTTAGTCATGACCATAAAACCCCAACTACTGGAATGTTTTTGAATATCGATCTGAGATCCAAAACCATCAGTGGCCTGAACCTTCCATGACAATCCATGCAATGAATCCGCGCTTCCAAAAGATTAGTAATCATGACTCGCTTCCAAGTATCTTTGACGCCAACTAATTATTAATCATGAGTCATGAGTTTTAACCACATAGGCCGAAGGGAACACTAAGACTAATTAAGTAATCCTAGACATCTTTAAATGCAAACTCATGTTTTTTAAAAAAATATAATTACTCTCCCTTTCCCACACCTTCCCCGTTCCATGTCAATTATCTTGCATTCCTTCCCCTCCTCGTAAAATCTATTATTATAATTAAATACTTTATAAAGCACTCTTCCTTTGACTTTGTATAGATAGTACACAGCGGCGCACCAAATGGTAAAATGTTGCTAAAACACACCAAAAACACACCAGCATTGATTGCTTAAATGGCCGGTTTAAGCAATCAATGATGGTGCATTTTGTGTAAATTCACAATTAATGATTGTTTTAACACACATTGAATGGTTGTGCGTTTTCTCATCCAATGGTGGTTTTTTACCGTTATACGCTGTTTATTTATGCATGTATTTGGACCTTTTACCAATTGTACATTGCATTATTATTCGCACAGATGCATGCCTTTTACAAATACACACTTGATATTCAACACGGGTTTATTAATTGTTCACATGGATATGGTGCTTACATAGGAAATATGGTTTAAAAAGGCGTTTAAATTTTGTTTAAAAATGATTTATTTTGAGATTTTAAACTGGAAGCAATTTTAAGTATACTATACGTCATCTCTAAAAGCTGTAGGGAATTATTCGCGTGTAGATATTTACAGTACTCACATACTAATAACCTGCTAAGGAAGCAACAGAATCGCCTGACAGACTTACATGTATACAGGTAACGAGCCATATGGTAAAGAGCGATATAGTTCTTAGAAGTAACCTAGAATAAACAACCTATGATAAAATACGGCCTAAAATAAAAAAAAAAGAGCATAAAACAAAAAAAAAATAGCCTAAAATAAAAAAACAGCTTAAAAACAAGGTTAATTCTTGATACACGTAGAATTTGCACGTAGTATTTTTTTTTCACGTAGTGATTAAAATACCGACAGGAAAAATTGAAAATGTTCACGTCACTCTCTTTAATGTACTTTCAAGCACCGTTTTGTAAATTGATAAATGACTGAAAGTTTTTGACAGCTTCCTTCGTTTTCTTATTAGAACTATAATTGTATTAACATTAACCTTGACATTTGTAATAAACTCAAAGAATGTTCTCTCAATCAAGAAGCACTCGCGACGAAATGCATTCTGAATTCAGTGTTCAATTTTGCGTCGGACAACATTTTGAAACGAGAGACGATTTAAAAAAGGCTATTCGAGATTTTGGAAACAAATTTAATGTCATATTTTCTATTGCCAACTCTCATCCTGCCAATGGAGACTTCCATTATATATGCAAACACGGTGGTGATAAGCGTATTTTGTTGAAATCTCCTACAGTCGAAGATTCCGGCAACAAAAGCGAAGAGAAAGACGAGGATTTAAAAAAAAAATATAAAAAAAGCACCCAAAAACTCAAGTGTCCCGCTTTTATTAAGTTATACAACTTCACAATCACTAGATCCCAAATGGAACACAACCATCCCATTTCTCAGGATTTCACAACTTACGCTATCAATAGCAAACAGAGTCCAAAGATCATGGAACGTATCTATAGCATTTTGGCTAGTGGCAATAAGGATCCTGTAACTAGCGTTATGGATGTAAGCATCAAATCATTTACAAACAATTAGATCATTCTCACTGACTGATTTTTTTAGACATTGACTGCCTTGGGTATTAACAACATGATCAAAAAGGATATTCAAAACATCCACACCTTGTTCTTGAAAAATGAGGACGGGAAAGAAATGTATTCTTTAATCACCCATTTGGAAGATATTGGATATGTTGTTCGAATCCAGGTCAAGCCAGATCAAGAAGTCAAAAGCGTTTTTTTTATTCATGAAGATGCTATATACGAGACAAGATGGCCTGAAGCAATCACTATTGACGCAACATACAAAACAAACGCACACAAGTTCTCGTTGATCAAAATTGTTGGAACTAGTAATGTATCCTCAGTAAGAGGTACAAATAGATTACAAACATTTGCTGTGGCTGCAGCTTTCGTAAATGCCGAGACCGAAGCCGCATATACGTGGGTTCTTGAGGAATTGAGAAATGCTGTCTGGCCCGAGGAAAAAGATTACGAGCTTCCAAATGTATTTGTTACAGATAACGAAAGAGCATTAAGAAATGCTATTGATAATGTTTTTCCAGAAAGACACCATCTTTTGTGTTCTTGGCACTTACGGAATACTATGGAAACTAAACTTCCAATTGGAAAAGTAAATGCCGTGGAATATAGATACCGTCGTTGCCTTGCTGATGAACAGTTTAAAGCTATTGTCGGAAGCAATAAGTAACAACAATACCTCGATGCTGTTTCCAAATTTGAGCAGATAGTTACCAAAACTGACTGCTTCAAAGACAATGGTAGATCTGCCTTGATTTATTTGAAAGAAGTGTAAGTTCGTGATTTATAATCGTGGTTGGGACATTATATCTTAACTGAGCTTTTATACCGTTTGCTTGAAGAAGACGAAAAGAAGCACTGGGTTGGTTTTTATGCCAACCAGTTTTCTCATATGGGAAATCGTACGTCAGCAAAAGCAGAGGGCTTCCACTCCAGATTAAAAAAGGCTCTGGGAAACCAATTTGCGGCAAAATTAGCTATGACCACAGGACGTATGCATGCATACTATCAGAAGAAAGTAAGCAGTTTTTGATTTTTAAAAGAAAAAAAGAAAACCCC